AATTTTATTTACTAACAACGCGTATTACGGGTTGCTTACTGCTAGTATTAATAATTGAAATTATTAATAATATTAATAACAAAATATAACTATATAGTATAAATTTTTTGGTAAATATCATAATGATAGAAACAATCAATATTGGTAATGTAAGAGCTATATTAATATATATATAATAGTAGATTTAGTAGATAAAAATATAAACTCTTATAATAATAGTACAACTAATAAATTAAATAAAAATAATGGACTTGAAATAAAACAAAAAAATAATTTAAGAATTTAATAGCTAAATGACGAAAACGAAATCAACAGCAAAAATATAAACTGTCCATGTAATAAGAATGATTTTTTTGTAATATGTAATAACATGTAATAGAAATAAATTAGTATGTAATAGCATATATGTAATAACAATGTAATAAAAATGTAATAATTAAGAATATACAATAACAAAAAGGAACTACTTTTAAATATTAAAGGCGCTACTGCAGTTTCTCCCCCCTCCCCTTTTTTTTATTTTATTGCTGATTACGATAGAAAATTTTATGCTGATTAAGAATCGTATAAAAACATAGGTCTGAAAATTAACAGAAATTGCTCTAATTCGATCTTGAAGTTTAAAAAATTACACTAAAAAACGCTAATATTCGCCATTTTTTTATTCTCGGTTATATTAAAATTCTTTTCAAAGATGATTTTAAAATAGCCTGTTTTCTATTAACAATTTAATGCAAAACTGTTAAAAAATGCTCAGCGCATCATTTTCTGATTTATTCCTTGCCCAAACCCAAACCCTGTCCCAAATCATGTACGTTTAATCGCGCCAATCCCTATTTGTCAGTCGATGTATGTGCATTTAGTTGTGCCAATCCCTATTTGTCAATCAATGTATGTACATTCAATTGCCCAATCCCTATTTTTCAGTCGATGAGTGTACATTTAATTGCGCCAATCCCTATTTTTCAGTTGATTCATGTACATTTAAAAAGCAATATTTGAATTTATTTTTAAAAAAATAATTAAAGTTATATAAAATACATTCATTAAAACATTTAATTCAATTATAAATTAACTTTGATGACAATAAAAACCGGGTCGCCTAATTAAAAAAAGATTTTCTTAACGATCGATTCCAAAATGTAAAAACGTATTTAAAAAATGGCGAATATTAGCGTTTTTTAGTGTAACTTTTTAAACTTCAACATCAAATTAGAGCACTTTCTGTTGAATATCAGACCTATGTTTTTATACGATTCTTAATCAGCATAAAATTCTCTATCATAATCAACAATAAAAAATAGGGGTCGGGGGGTGGGGGAGGGGAGAAACTGCAGTAGCGCCAATATTAATTGTAATTCAGTATTCGGTTCACATAAATACTTAGATTATATTATCTAAGCATTTGATGCATTCATAATTCAAGTATAGTTGAGGATTGTAAGTGATTATTGAGTTATGAAAAAATTGAACATAAGCTGTAATTAAACAAGATTTTGTTCCATTTATGATGATAAAGAAATCCAAGAAATTTTTTTTTTAATGGATACAATATACATAAGTAATACTTTTCCTTATACAAACGACTGATACAAAAGAAATAAATAAATCATATAATAGCTTACTTTCTTGTTGTATGTAGCAACAGTAGAATTATGTCTTTGTCTAACAGAATGGTAATTTATGCTGCAAAAATCATTTATAAACAGTTCAATGTTATTAAACTCACGTGCACTTGCGAACGGAAAAAAATAATATTCAAAATATAAACATAATATAAGCACATGCGTTAATAATCAGCCGCAGAAGCAATTTTTAGACGTTTACAGAGGCTGAATTCAGTCGCAGAAGATTCATTATATATATATATATATATATATATATATATATATATATATATATATATATATATATATATATATATATATATATATATATATATATATATATATATATATATATATATATATATATATATCGCAGAAGATTCATTATATATATATATATATATATATATATATATATATATATATATATATCGCAGAAGATTCATTATATATATATATATATATATATATATATATATATATATATATATCGCAGAAGATTCATTATATATATATATATGTATATATATATATATATATATATATATATATATATATATATATATATATATATATATATATATATATATGATGTTTACATAATTTGACGATTTGAATGTTTAAGAAATGTAAAAAATCTAAACTAGTTATGAAGTTAAAAAAGTATTTATTACATTATGTTTAATTTATTCGTTAAAAAAATATACTTTAACAAGCTCATACAAAAATCTGCTAAATATTTTTATTGAGCTCAAAAAGTTAGACCCCTAAGAGTGTAAATCCGGCCTAAGAGTGTAAATCCGGCCTAATAGTGTAAACCCTGTATATATGAGATAAGTTTATATCAGATAGTTTGAATTTTACCGCTTATAAATAACATAAAAGTATGGAGTATAAATCTTTAACCATAAACGATAGAACCGTTACCTTTCGCAGCAATATGCCAACCGTCAATATTTTATTTTAGAGGCAAAATTTCGGAAGTAATTGATGACCATCATCAGAAAATCATTTAAAGACAGAACAGTTAGGAAACTATTTTTAATGGCTTCTGGTTCCTAACTGCTCCCAACTGGAGACAGAAATTTTGCTTGTGTTTCCAAAAAAAATCAAAATAAGAAGAGTTTGTTTTGGATTTCTTTTGGATGAGTTTGTCTTTCCAAAATCCATTGTAATCCCAGGCGCAACCCAGTTAAATACCGTTGAAAAAATAAAAATGTTAACCTAAATGGTTCCAGTATTTTGCCATTAGGATCCTAACTGGGATCTATTTGTACTGGTTAACTGGGACAAGCACCTTTAGTCAATTTAAGGGGGAAAACTTATTGCAGACAAAAGCTCTTCTTACTGCTTTAGAAATTTCACTTTTAAATAAAATACAACAGCAAGATTCCTTTTGAAACAAAATTTTTTCAAAAACTTAGAATTTTGAAAAAATCCATTTTTATTTGAAGAAGAACTCGAGGAACAGTTGCGCATTCTGCAAAAAACAGCGCCGAAATAAATTCAAGTCCATTTCAAAAGAAATATTGGTTTACTAAGCAATCAGAACGCAAACCACAAGTCTTGAATTTTTCTTCAACGCAGCAACCATCCCTCCAACCATTGTAAAGTCTGCAGCTTGATTATTTGTACAAAAAAGTTTGACTTGATTATTTGTACAAAAAAGTTTGACATCACACATGAATCCCATAAAATCCATACGTAACTCATCAAAAAGCTATGTAGAACACCTTTAGTTTCTCAATCGGGTTGCTTTCATGAAACTAAACAAAAAAAATAATAATAATCAAAAACAAGATTCTCTCTTCGATTAATCTTTGCAAGAAAAGAACAATCAAAAAATGTTTTTAAGACTTAAAAAAATTAAAAAAAACAAAATAAATTTTATATTTGTAAAGAGTTCTGACTTTTTTATGCTGAGTATTTTTGTAATTGCTAAGCAACAAACTTTATTTGTTTATTTTGAAAAGTGTAACAATTAAGCCTCTGAGTGCACTCTTTGATAAACTCCATAAAAATAAAAGTGGAGAAAAGCGATGAAGTAATATAGAAATAATATACATTGATTTTTAAAATTCCCGTTCTAATAATAAAAAAAATTGTAGTTTAATGAACTTAATTTTTATTACTTGGGAAATTTATTAAAAATACAAAAAGCTATGACTAAACCAAAAACGCTGACGCCTATATTTATGCTTTTTCAAAAAGTGAAGTTAAACAAAGTGTGCACTGAGAGACTTAATTGTAAGTCAAAAAGATCAAATTTTTAAAAAATTGAATGTTAAGTGGTTTTAAAGGAGTACATTTAGTGTGAAAAAATTAAATCAATATTTATTTCTAATTAAACTTTCTTTTTAATGGCAATGAACCTTACGGTGTTAGGGTGGTGGCACTAACGTTAGCTATATTAATCAATTAAAATTTTATTTATTCATTTAAATTTTTTATTGATGACTATCAAAAACAAACATTTTTTTTTTAAATAAGAATTGGCGAAATAAAAGAAGACTATTGGGAAGTTCTTTATGAACGAAAGAAATAATATTTCCATACAATTTAAAATATCTCTAAAATAAATAATGACGGTATATTTAAAGTTCATACATTTCGCCTGAAACCTGTCCAGTGCCGACTACTTCAGAGAAACAGCCAGTTCGGTTGACCGGAAATAAAGCAGTAATACCGATTTTTTTAATCCGAATATATTTAGCATATATATTCGGATAAATCAAATATATACAGCCTAACATAAACGAAAAAGTCATATCTTAATCTGTTATAAAAATACTAAATTGTGTGTTTCTATATTTTATTTAAAGCAGTATACAAAAATAGTTTTTTTATTTGGCTAGTACATTATTACATAATAAATAACTTGTTTGTTAGGCTGCATATATTAGTAATAAGTTCGCATTTACTCTATTAGTTTTTTAAGTACGCTCGAAAAAGTTAATCTATATCTTTACATTTATGGTGAAATCAAAAGATTGCAAAAATCAGTTTTAATGTCGATTAGATTTAAAACCAATTATCAACTTTTACGAGAAAATACAGTTTAAATATGAATTATTTTCAGATTTGAATAATTTTGTCAATATATTATTGTCGTTGCCGTAAATTTTTTTTGTCTTCATTTTAGCATTTGTTGTATGTTTATTTAATGTATTTTCTATGTATTGTATTTCTATGTATTTTACAATGTAGTTTTAACTTAACTGTTCGTAAAAATATAAACAGTTTTCAGTTTTGTTTTTTAAAACAGCTTGTTTTGTTTTTGGTGAAACACATGAAACGTGCAGAAAGAGATAGCGACTTGTTGCCGCTTCATCGAATTCTCACAGTCACGTGAATTTTATTAATTACGTCAAGTAGTAATATTATTCTCGTCCATATGACTGACTATGGGTCAACATTATTAACTTGATAAAGTCTAAAAAATTTTAGTTTTTATAGAATTTTTGCTTTTTGCTGAGGAAAAAATTTAAAATCAATTTACTAGTGGCCTCATTTTCTGCACAAAGTCAATCACAATTAACATTTTTTGTAAACTTAATTTAATATGATTTTTGATTTAAAGCATCCGCTCAGTGAAAAACGGCTACCTACTGAATGAAAAACAGTTTTTTAAAATAGAGTACGAGACTCAAAAATCTCGATGTAATGGAACCACGAATAATTTTTCAAATAGTCTTTCTTTTATTTTGTTTTAAAGCAAATAAATCCGAAACATTGAAAGACGTTAAAGACTTTTTAAAAACTTATAACGAACAAGCAGATAAACTTCAACACGATGACACAGTTGCATCTTGGAATTACGAAATTGATATGTCAACCGAAAATAAAAAAGAAACCTCGCGTATCAGTGGTCTGGTTTCTAAATTTTCTCAAGAATATAAAGATAAAGCTGAAATCATACTTAAAAATATCAACGGAGATATACCATCTTCTTTAATACGTCAACTTAAACTGATAACAAGAACCTCCTCAAGTAAAGACAGCAACGAAGCAAAACTAATTGCAGAACTTCTCTCGAATATGACGGCATATTATAGCCGAACAGAGGCAAGCTTCTAAGCAAATTTTATATACCTTGAATTTTATATATATATATATATATATATATATATATATATATATATATATATATATATATATATATATATAGTTATCTTTTGTTAAAAGTTAAATTAATAATTAAATATTAATTATAATAAATAAATTTAAAATATTTATTAAAAAATTAAAAAGCATAAACATTAATTTCATAGTTTATATATAGTTTTTTTATTTATACTTTGTTAACATAATAATTTTTTGAACACTTAATAGATTGTTAAAAAGATAGATGGAGAAGAGTACCATTTCAAACTTAACTCTCACTTACTTCCTTTGATGTCACAAGTTGAAGTCGAAAATCTTGGAAACATGAGATGGGCTTGGAGAGTTTGGCGCGAAGCAGTCGGAATAAAAAACAAACCGTTGTATGTCAAGTTTGTAGAGTTAGCAAATAAAGCCGCTAGAGAAAATGGTTTTGACGATTTTGGTGACTATTGGAGAAAAGAGTATGAGGTCGAAAATTTAGAAAATATGATCGAAGATATTCTTATGGAAGTGATGCCTCTATATAAGAAACTTCATGCTTTTACTAGATACAAGCTTCAGTAAGTTATATTATTATAATACATTTTTTTAAAAAATGTTTGAACAGCTTTTTTGCAGAGGTGTTGCTACACATAGAGGTGCTGCTGCAAATAGAAGTGCTGCGAGTAAAGTTAAAATACCACGCAGTTTACAATAAACATTTTTTTTTCAATATTTTTTTTTTTTTTTTAATCAATTGTTTCAAAAAAAAAAAAATTTCAACTATTTCTACTTTTTTTTGAATAAGTTGATTTCTTTTTTATATTAGTACATTTCTATTTATCATTTTTTTGTACTAAGCTCTAAAATAACCTACTAGTTAGATATAATCAAATCAACATTTTTTTAAAGTCCCTGTTACATCTTTAATTCAATGAACTAACAAGAACTTTGTATAAAAACAACGGTTCAAATTAGTCGTTACTTTGTAATAAAAAACTTAAATTAAAGAAATAAGCAGAAATGCTATTTCTTTAATCAGAAAAAATAACAGACCTTAGATTGATTCCTAATGTTATTATCCCGCCAGGCTTGGCTGCGGTTTCCATCTTGGGCCCATATGGGTTTTCCATCGGGTATTCAGTATGAATAGCCACTAAGTTTTGTAACAGCAATAGTCTAAAGTTGGATTACTAATTTGACCCATATAGAAAACCGCTAGAATACGCCACCGTTTTCATCTGAAAACTATAAACTATAAACTATAAACTATAGAAACTATAAACTCTAACCCGCATAACAAATCTTGCAAAACTACCTTTAAGCTGTTGAACCTACACAGAAGTAAAATATTTTATTGCATTTGTAATTTAAAACAAATAACTATTAAAATTAGGTTGTTTGAGCAACTATTCAAACTAATTTTTGACCATATAACATACACCTACGTAGTCAGAAAATTCTGCAGTCTCCGTCTCCTCCACAGTTGCATAAGTTAAAAGTCTTTCCAATAATGTTAACACTACTTTTTTAGGCACCTTTTTTTTGATACAATATCTTTTTTAATATGAGTTTAAAAAGACTCTGTTTATAGGTATTGTAGTTTATCCTCCTCCGGCTAATTGTCATATAGAGGCCACACATCTAGGCCCGCAAAGATATGTTCAGCTGGTTAAAGAAAATCATAACCCGCTTCAACGGACCAAAAGTAAATAAGCTTTTAGAAGAACGAAGTAAATAAGAGTGAAAATTAGAAGTAGCCGAGGAGGAAAGATTGCATAGAAAAAGTAGAAAGATTTTAAGAGTACACTAGTTGTTATAATGTGCAATAATAAGTATTATATAGCATATTAAAAATATTTTTCAATACTTTTTTTTAAGGCTCTGTTTATTTAACCAAATAAATGTATAACTTTGCGCATTCTAACATCCAGTGCAATATCTGACCCCTATCTTTATGATATTTTTCTAACTCGACTTCTTCTGTCTTTGACTTTAATATTCATCGTTCTTTTTAAACTCACTTAGTCTTGGTTCGTCGTAACGAGTTTTGATGCTTTTAGTGATCTGAATTCGTCTTTGCGGGCCTTGGTATGTTGCCTCTATATGGCAATTAGCTGGAGGAGGATAAACCACAATACCACTTTACTTAAACTACGATAACATCGTAAATAAAGTTCTGAAAAACTTGTCGAGGAGGTTTTTATCGACTTAAAGAATGGATTTGACACAATAAACAATCAATTTATCTATTTCACAGAACGCAATGTTTAAATTTAAGTAATACTTTGTCTTTAGCATTTCCCAATAGCAGGAGTTACGCAAGTCTCCACTTTGGGAGCTTTATTGTTTTTATTATTTCTTAACAATCTTCTGCATCAGTTTGACTAATTTCAAACCATCATGTAAGCTAATAAAGTCATCTACTTTTCAGATAAAATTCTGTTTTAGAAAATGAACTGTTTGTTTTTTATATTAGTTTAAACATAGGAAAACCGAAAAAATTTTTAAATTTGCTGTTTGACCAAGGATGTAACTGGATAACTTTATGTGATTTGATTTGTTTTAGTTGTACAGTAAAGAAATTACTCTAGCATAACTAAATATAGTTACCGTTAAAAGAAACTTTAATTTTTATAAACTAAACAGTTTAGATATAATTAGATTTAGGTGTAGTTTATTTCAGTAAAAAAAGGGTTCGCTAACATCGTACCTAAATAAAGCGCATATTTTTATGAATAATTATTTATCAAAACAAGACCGTTCCTTAATAAGCTATCCTTTTTCGATTGCATCAGAGAAAAAAAAAAGGTCATAAATTAAGAAGAAAATAAGAAGTACATAGTTTTAAAATTTTATTAATAATTATAATTGATAATTATTATTATTTATAACAAATAATTATTATTATTTATAATAAATAATAATAATAATTATTTATTATAAATAATAATAAGTATTGTTACTTTTATTATTATTAGCTCAATTTTTTTGCTTTACTAAGTTTTCTTTATTTTTTCTTTTTTTATCTATACTGAGAATATGGAGCCCTTAGCGGGTGAATAAAAATGAGCAATTGCTTTTACTCAGTAATTGGTTAGCTTTACGTGAACTAAAACTTGAGCAATTTTGCTTAAGTTTTTATTCACGTAAAGCTGAGGAATTACTGAGTAAAAGCAATTGCTCATTTTTATTCACCCGGCCTTATACTTATCTTTTTCTTTATTTTTTTTTCTTGCTTGCTGTCACTCTTTTGACTAATTTCTAACTTTATGAGTGACACGTGACCAATTTCTGTAAATTTATGATAAATTCTGAAAAATTTATTAATATGGTCGAATAATATTTTTACTTATTTTCAATTAAAAAAAAAAGATATTAAAATAAAGAAATATCGCTATATTTACATTAATTTCAGCTTTCGACTTTTGTTTGAAATGGAAATAAATTTTATATATTTGCCTTATATGCATGGAAACTTACAAACAAGCCATTGTTTAAGGGCTCCATATTCTCAGTTTATTATATGTTTTTTATAATCATTTGGTTTCCTTGAAACTCAATATATGTTGTATTTAAAATTTGTTCTTTTAGTTATATTTTTAAAAATATTTTAAAAATATTTTAAAACTTGTTTTCAAAAACTTTTCGTTTATACTTTATTTAATTTATTAATAAAATTTGTAATAAAAATAATTAATAAAATACTGGCACATAAAAATTATGTGTTGGAAAATATTTATTTCACATAAATATTTAGTATAATACACTGATCATTTTCATAACTTTTATGTCTCTAATTTTACTGTAGACAATTCAACAACCATAGCACGCTAAGTAATTTTTAAGTATGAAAATTAATGTTGTGAAGTATTTCTTTATTTTTTATTGGCAAAGAGTGGGAAGGGGAGGGGAGTTGGAAATCACATCGGAGAGAATAGGTTAGCTACAGTGTAATGAGAAAAAAAAAAACATTTTAAAGTTTTTATTGCAGAATAAGTAGCTTAAATTGTTTGGAAATTATTTTGTTTTTTTTTAATTCCATTCAACAGAAATATATATAATCATGAGAAAAAAATAAAGTTTATTTAAAAAATTATATTATTCATCTCGAGCATTTGTTTATTAATAAACGCCTTGTGTTTTTGATGAAATTATGTTTTGAAACTTATTTTTAAAATATGAACTTAAAGCTTATATTTGCCAGGACTGGACAAAGTGGGTTTTGGGTTATTTAGGTTTTATTAAAAAACCCAATGACATAGGTTTTTTGGGTTTTTTATTTTTACAATTTACGTTTTGAAAACTATTATTATGACATTTTTTGCTAAAATTTTAATATCTTAAACAATTTCGTTATGATATTCATTGAATTTTCTGGAAATCTTCACATTATGATTGTCATGCAGTAATTTTTGTTTTGTTTTGTTTTGTTTATTTAACAATATTTTCTGGTAAAAACATCGTTGAGCATAATATATGAGAACACGGAAACTAACAAACTAATTATTTCAAAAAAACATAAAATGAAAAGTAAATAACGTTTAAGAAAACCTACATACAAACAAGATAAGGTATCTCAATTATAAAACACCATTTAACAAAACAATATAAAAAAAAATCAAATATTTTAATTTACATTTAGATAACACTTAAAAAGAGAAACGAGATCAGAAGAATTCAAAAATATTGTCTATCGAGAAAATAACTTTTTTCAGTTTGTTTTTGAAAGTAAAAAGATTCCAATTTTTGGAAAAATCAAAATTTTTTAAAACTATTTGGTTCCACAAAAAAATTCCGCGATAAAACCTTCCAAAATTTGTATGCAAATAATGTTTATAGATAAAATTGTCATTTTTTAGATCTTTTTTTTTTTTTTTGGACTTTACTGCATATAAATTTTAAAATTATATAGGAGTTAAGTTTATCTTACATTTAAAAATAAAGCAAAGGACGTTAAAAGCATTTGGTTGGCATATATTAAAAATTTTTGATTTTTTCATTTAGATAATGATATCTAGCATTTAAAAATAAATAAAACCCAAAAAACCCCAAAAACCCTTAAAAACCCAAAAACCCATTTTCTGAAATAATAAAAAGGGTTTTTTTTCCAGCTCTAATATTTGCATAATCTGATCACGTGAGCTTCATTTCTTTTTAATATTATATCAATATAGTATAAATTATATTGATATAGAGTATAATATAACATAGTTAATTTATAACAATTATTAACAAATTACAATCAATTATATTGATTTAGTCCTAATTATATGTTGTAATTATATGATATTAATTATATTGATACACACCATATATACAGAGTAAAAAATATATTAAAACAATAAAGTTTAGTGTGGAAAATGGTTTTCCCTTTAACAGTAACATTTCGGAAGTTTTTATCCAAGTTATACATGAATAAATATATTCATATTAAGTCTTACATTAAAAAAAAAAAAAAAAAAAACTACTTTTATTCAAATTTTATATTTTTTTTGATTCAAATTTTATATTTTGTTTAAGTTTTGATTGGATATTTGATTTAGTGACAGATCCAGAAGAAGGAAGGGGAATGGGGTTAATTTTATGCATCCCCTCCCCCCCTCACCAAAATTGAAAGAAATATCTAAGGAATGATAGATTAGAAATAATAAAAATATTATCTTAGGAATGGAGGACCTTTTTTTTTTTAGGAGACGCCAATGTGATACAAAATACAAAAATATTTTACACTAAAAATTACTGATTCCGTCAATGATTTAATTCATTTTGTTTTTAATCGATATTTTAAGTTAATAAATATTTTAGTTAATCAATAATTCATAAAATATTTAATTTTAAATTAAAATGATGACGTCTTGTATGAGAGTTGAATAAATTTAATATATGAACATCAATGAATACAAATTCTCTCAATACTAGTTTTTTTATTTAATCTAAGAAATTTTTGCTAATTACAAATTTGTAATTAAAGCTGATGATGCTAGCATCAATAGTCTAGCGAAAATAGTATCGAAAGATACTAAATATATAGAATAAATAAATCGTTTGAGTGAAAAAAAATAGTCACACAAAACACAAAAACGTCGAGTTTTTTTCTACACTACACTAAATTGTACATTTATAATACTTTAGCTAACATTTTTTTTTATTTTAACAAATTTTATAATATTTTAGCAAACACTTAGGAAACAGCTCATTAGAAGGTAAAAATTTAATTCCTCAGCATTTGCTAGGAATGTGGGGTCAGAATTGGGTGCATCTTTTCAGTATGATGTGTCCTTTTCCAAATAAAACTATACCTGACGTGACTGGTGAAATGAAAAAGCGTTCATGGACAAATATCGATTTATTAAAACAAGCTGAAGAGTTTTTTGTTTCTATAGGTACGTGTATATTTTATATATATATATATATATATATATATATATATATATATATATATATATATATATATATATATATTTTTTTTTTTTTTTGTATATGTAAATTTAAAATTTCCCAACAAAAATCTTATATTCAAAATAATGTTTTTTTTTTTAAATTTATTTGACGAGGAAAGAAAAGTATTTTATTTGTGTTTTTTTATTTAAATATCAAATTTTTAAAAATTTTATAGAAAACATTTTAAATAAAATTCTTAAAAATGGTAAATTGTATTTTGTTTTTAGAATAAAAACTCTAAATTATCCGAATCAGATTAATGTACAAAGTTCATTTCAGATTCATAGTTCTGTGTAATTATTTAAATTAAAAGATAAATTTAATATATGAACATCAATGAATACGAATTCTCTCAATACTAATTTTTTAATTTAATCTAAGAAGTTTTCTTTTATATTTTAATTTAAAATATATAACTATACTTTAATTAATTTATTTGCTGTTTTAGTTTTGAATTTTAAATTTCTAACAAGGTTTGTTTTCCAGTGCTTAAAAATGCTAAAGTTGGATTTGAAGGTTGATAGTTTGTTGTTGTGATTGGCTTAGCGATTTTCAGTTTAAATTAAAATACATCCGGACATTAAATGAAAAATATTTTTATTTAATTCGATAAACTACCAACTCGTTTTATAAGACTAATTTATTTTAACTTATTCTAATTTATCCTGGTTTGGTTTATTATTGAAACCTTTATTTCTTTCCAAATATTTATAGTTTTTAACATAAGAAAAAATAGCAGAATATTTTAGATTTTTTTTTGTGTGGATATTATTAAAAAACCTAAAATGACGTTAACTTTATTGGACGTCGATAAAGTCGATAACAATAACGTCGCTAAAAAAATTTCGAAATAGTTGTAAAGTTACGCTCATGTAAAAACAAAAAAGCCAGTACAATAATGTAAGTGCTAATTACAGTGTAGAGGAAAACGGGGTTGGTTGTCACATTTTTTACATTTTAGACTGGTCAGGTTTTATTTTTCATCAAATCAATGCACGAAAGTAATTTAACTATTTCCGGTAACTATTACAAGATTTTTATGACATTGAGTGAAATACTTTTTGCTGAAAAATCATTTATTAAAGACATCTTCCGTGTGACAACCAACCCCACTTACAGGATTAGTTGTCACTTATTATTGGGCTGATTGTCACATTTCTTGATATGTTTTGATTATATTTAAAACTAGTACCAATAAATTTTGTTTATTTAATACAAAGAATAAATCTGAATATTCTGAAAAAAAAAAAGGCTATATACTGAAAAAAAGTAAATACTATATACCGAAATATGTTTTTTTTTGAATATAACACAATATACACATTTAGTTTAGGACTATATAAGTGTTTTTAAAAATGGTGTTTTTATAAATTATTTTAATAATTATTTTATAATTATTTTTATAAATATCTAAAAGTGCGCTTAGATTGCAACGCACGGAGTCGAGGCAATTATGACAACCATCCCCATATATTTTGTATCAAACAACCCCTTCTATGAAAGTTACAAGACACCTGTAAATTTACCTAAATGCGTGTGAATTTCATGTGAATTTTTTGTGGATTAAGTTACTCAAATGAATTTAAAACTTTTAAAATGTACATTCAAAGCACAACAAAAAAGTTTTCGTTTGGTAAACGAAAATTTCTAAGTGAGCAAAATTTAACTTTTTCTTATCAAAAACCTTTAAAAACTATATTTCTTTTGTTTACTACAATGAAATCTTTTGTTTACTACGATGAAATCTTTTGTTTACTACAATGAAATCTTTTGTTTACTACGATGAAATCTTTTGTTTACTACGATAGAATCTTTGGTTAACTATAACGAAATCTTTTCTTTACTGCAATGAAATATGTTTTTAACTACAATGAAATATTTATGCAATCAAAGGTTTTAACTTCTATCTTATATACTTAAATACTTTTGGTACCAGATGCTAAAAGAAAATTATCAGTTAAAAAGCAGCAAAAATCTGTTTCTATGGTTTTAACTAAATTATTGCTGTTAATGACTGATAATTAAAAAATTGTTTTGCATATCTATGGCATCATCGTTTTCACAAAAACAAATTATCGTCTAAAACTCAGTTAAAAAATGTTGCCATGGAATAGAATAATAATTTTTTTTATTAACTCATTGTTTCCCACATTAAGGGTAAGGAAAACAAGTTTTTATGGTATTTTCATAGCTCCAGTCATTACACTTTTTTTATATTTAATTATTACTTGATAAATTTCCTTCCTTTTTTTAAATGGTTTCCTATACAAGATTATATAAATAAGCTTCAAACAATGAATATAAAATTAATATCACACTTCTTTAGCTTTGATTATTATCTATTTTACCAAATTATTAGCTCATCTTAATACTATTTGTATTTTTTATCTCTTTAGCAGTAAAACTAATTTGTTAAAAAATCTTAAGTGAAGATTGCAAATGTTGCTAAACTAGATATAAAAAAAGCTGTAAAAAAATTCTCTCTGTATAATTCATTTTGACCTTCGAAATATTTTGATACAAATTTGGTTCAAGCAAAAGAAAAAAAATTATGATTAAAATTAAACTTCTAAAAGGGGTACAAAAATACAGACTTCTGCATGTAGACATTATTTTTAAGCATTATATCTTTGAGCCTAAAATGGCTTCTTTATCAAAAGAATGGTAGCGACAAAACAGAAAAGCATCAGATTTAATAATCTCTTATTCATAAAGTTAAAACATATGATCCTGATTATGAATATGAAAAAACTTAACTAACTTCTTTTAATTGCTAGAATCTAGAAGGAACTGTTTTAAAAAGTGCTGAAATCAAATTTTGGAATATTTTCAGGCCTGTATTACTAAAAAACGCAAGGTGATAAATGACAGACAAGATTTTACTAAACTAACCATGCAGTTTTTATCCCCTTCTGCACATATAATAATAAAAAAAATAAAAGTTGGAACAGTTAATAACTTTATATTTTTAAGCAAAAGTTAACAATACCTCAACCTTAAGCTTTTATTTAAGCAATTAAAAATTGTTAAAAAAATAAAGTTAACAGAAAGATTTGAAACATCCATTCTTTTATACAAAGTAGACTTTCAAGCCCATTTCTGAGCTCCTGCTTCTATAGAAGCTATTGTACAGATGAAAGGAAAGTTTGCTCTAAACCTGAGGCAGTTGACTGTTCGCTTTGGTTCTTTTAGATAAAAGTATTTCTATGGAGAAAAAAGCAGCTAAAAGAGATGCTTTGCTCTTCTTTCAGATGCTAAAGGTTTATTTTTTAAACATTGAAGCAAAGATCAGTGTGATACATTCCATATTATCAATAAAATGAAGATACCCATAAGTTTTTTTATCCATTTTTTTAATCCAAACGCTTCATTGATTGATGAGTTTTTTTATCCAATTTTTAATGATAGTTAAATAATCAGAGGAAAAGGTTGTCATCTTTACTCAAATATTGTCTTCCCCAGTTTTATTTCATAATTTTTAAAAGTTGACCAAATGGTAATAGATGTAAATGACAATTCTAAAAGAGCTGTTAAAATAAATGCAACATTTTGTGTATACATACGAAAAAGTGAATAAAAAGTAGAACAAACTACTAACTTCAGACAAAGTTTTTTTTGTGTTGGTGGTATTTATAAAAAAAATTTTTAGTAGTAAGTTTGTTATTTAATTAAGTACATTGTTGCTAATGTCTTTTTTCGATTTATGTGGAAAAAAAATGGAAAAAAGTGTGTGTAGGGGCGGAGCGGTTTTAGGATTAGAGCCCTGGCCCCTTAATCTCCACCATATTTACAACTGATAAAGTAATATAAAAACCTAAAATTTTAAAAACAGCTTTTAAAATGATTTTAACTGTCAATCTGAATGAACTAAATTATGCAATTGTAAAATTATCAAGTTTTGTTTTACTCTAGCATAACTTACTTTTTTCCTCTCGCAACTATTATTTATTTCAAAAAATAGGTAAAAAACTGATGGCACACCTTTTAAGTTAAAAATATAAACAGCAAACTACAAAGAAAAAAATTCAAAAAAATATTATCACTTAGATTAAAATTGCTGCATTAAATATTTTAAGTAATGTTGTGCAACAATAACTTAAGCGATGTTGTTGCCTGAATCATTTAAGCAATTTTGTTGCATCAATGGTGCATCAATTAAGCAATTGTGTTGGATGTTTAACTTTGCTTTTAATTTATAAAAGTAAAAATTTTAGGATTAGACAAAATGCCAGAATCATTCTATAATCGCTCATTAATCTCAAAGCAACAAGGAAAGAAATCTGTTTGTCATCCGTCGTCTTGGGATTTAGGAAACGGCGATGTGAGGTCTGGTTTCAAAATTTAATGCTTTTAAATACAATACAATTAATGTTTTTTAAGATTTTTGAAAGAACTTAATTTTTTTCTTTTAGGCTAAAAATGCCGTGTATGGGAATTTCACAAGGCGATTTTATAACAGTGCATCATGAAATGGGTCATATAGAGTATTATCTTATGTATAAACACCAGCCGTCAGAATTTCGCACTGGTGCAAACCCTGGATTTCATGAGGCTGTCGGAGATACAATTGCTTTATCAGTTATGATTCCAGAACATTTAGAGTCTATTGGATTGCTTAAAGGGATGTCAGGTGACGAAGGTAACATACATTACTTCAAATCTATATGTTTTCAATCTATATGTTTTCAAACCTATATGTATTCAAATCTATAAGTTTTTAAAAAGCGTTTATGTAGAACTTTGCGATTATCAATTCATTAGTTACTTTTCAAAAACAATTTTGGCTTACAATATTTCTTAAAATAATGGGTAAAAAAATGGGTAAAATAGGAAAAATTAATAAAAAGTGTTTCAACTCATAAAATTGATTATGACAAAATTAAAGTTAAAAAAAAATTTTTGCTTTTAAAAATTTAAAAAAACTTTTGTTCTAATTTAGAAGAAGAAATTAACTTTTTATTAAAGCAAGCTTTACAAAAAATCTCATTTCTACCATTCTCGTTTATCATTGACAAATGGAGATGGTCTGTATTTCGAGGAGATGTGAAACCAGACAACTACAATACTTACTGGTGGGAACTCAGTCGGAAATACCAAGGAATGAAAGTTCCAATCGTAAGAGCAAATGATTCTCAACTTTTTGATGCTGGCACATTCTTTCATGTTGCACACAATACAGAATACTTGAGGTATTTTATTAGCAATGTCCTCCAGTTTCAGTTTCATGAAGCGCTATGCGACGAGTCTGGACATAAGGGAGCCTATCACAAATGTTCCATTCATAAATCCAAAGCAGCTGGTAGAAAACTAAGGTACAACAGATTGTTTTACTGATTTATATTTAAACAGAGTTGATTATGATATTGATTGAGTTGACTTTTATACTAATCTTTATTGTGTTCTTTGTAAATTTCAGAAACATGCTCGAGTTGGGTAAAGAAAAACCATGGCCAGAAGCTTTGGAGGTTTTAGCTGGAACTCGTCATCTTTCTTCAAAAGCTATACTTGATTACTTTAAACCATTAGAAAATTGGCTTGATCAGCATAGAGAGGCAAACGGATATGATCTAGGATGGGACGATTCTGATATAGACATGCAAAAAATGTCATAAATTATTCAAAATAACGTATCCATAGATTTCCAATTATAATTTGCTTCTGCAATGCTTCTGACTTGAACTGATGACTTATTAGGTTATGACTCCTTAAAGTTGAGAAAACTGGATCTTGAATTGAAAACTGAAGCTTTAATTGATAAATTAAATTTTTTTCCATGCAGATTATAATTAAGTGTTTTCAAATTGTTAGTTAGAAAGTATTTATTAAAATTATATTTTTCGAAATTTTTTTATATACTTATGTATTATATTACGTTTAACATATTAAGGATATGCAAACTATATCAACTAAATTGACAAAACAAATTAAGTAAAATGCATTTTGATAGACAAAAATCCCTTTAGTTAAAATGCTTTTAATTTTAACCATCACAAACTTAAAACATTATCTAAAGAAAAAACACAATTTTTCAAATAATACATATTATTATTTCACTTAGTGGTACTTTACCTTTGTGACTTTGAAATATGAAAATTAAGAACACCCAAAACATTTTTATTTATAATCTCAAAATGAATTTGTCAGACGTTGGTTTTTTCTTTATACTATGTATTTTTTATCATATATATTCGAATATGTTTTATAACGTACATGTTTTCTATATTTAAGAGATATAAAACTAAATACCAAAATGTTCTTATTACAAATAAGCAAACCAAAATACATACATATATAAAAACTAGAGAGCAATATAGGTAAGTATTAAATATAAAATGGTAATTTAAATACGGGTTAACTAAAGATCTGGTCTTTAGTATACCCAGACACAGTGCCGTAGCTACTAGATCCGTCCGTTACATTATAAAAGTAAATATAATTAATACCTATCTGATACAATTACTAGTAATTATACAAATTAATATGAAACATACAAGGACTTGGGGTTGGGAGACTAATAATGCTCAATTTGTAACGAAGCTTCAAAAACGCTTCAATTAGACATTGAAAACTTATCAAATATTTATAATATTAAATATTTATTCAATAAACAAACTTTCTATTACAACCAAAATAATTTATTAAGATTTTATTTGTCTTTCAAAACATATATGTAAAATACAAACATATATATCCATATATTCATAATACAAACATATATATACATTTATAATAAAGGTTTAAAAGAAATAAATGTTTACAAACTAAACTTAAGTTTGTTTGGTTTACCATATAAAAAAATCCTAATAATATATTTATTAGTTTTGTATAAAAAAAATTTCAAATTAGTTAAATAACCGGCAATCTTTAAAACGGCGTTTCGAGTACGCCGTTTTAAAGACCGCCAAAGAACCTTAGAAAATAAAAAAATAAAAAAATAAAATTAGTAAGTGTTACTGCTTGCTCAGCTAATACTGCGAAACTATAAAAAACTGCAAAATATAAAATACTGACTATTTATAAAATTATGAAACATACTTTTTATCGACGATGATATCATTGATGTAAAATGTGATTTAGGGTCCTGTAAATAAAAAAGACTGTTTAAAAACTTGTTTTTTTAAATATTTCTCTGATGTAACAGACAATTTTCTTTAAAAAAAATACAGTAGCGATAACAAGAAACAAATAATTTAACTGTAATATCTTAACATAAGTTATTCGATTTAATGAAGTATAAATAGTTTTGTCAACCTCTTTGAAAAATAATTTGAATAAAAATTAGGATTAGTAACTAAAGTTATCCCACAAAAAATGGATCACCCACAAAAATGGATCAGTCTCACTTTCTTTTGTAAATTTTGCTTATTAAATTAATTTCAATCCCCTCAAAATGTTTTTATTATTAATTAAAGAATGAAAACGAATTAGAATGTGAAAAAGTTATTGTTACCGCCCAAAGAAAACGAACGCAAAAATATTACGAGCTTTCAAAAAATGACAGCTCAAACGTTATTGATATTGTTTTGCTAAGAAAGCAAACTTTTTAATTACGTGTTTTTTTGCTTAAAACCTTCTTATAAATGGTAATTAATGACAGAAGTCAAAGCTAAAAGGTGTATTTAACTAGTTTTTTAATTATCTGGCCTGGAAAACCTAATATAATGACTTAATTTTACAATAAAACTTTCATCAATTTATGTGTTTTTTCTCATGAAAAGTAAACATTTATGGATCACTAGAAAAATAAAACATAAAAAAACTAGTTTTCATGTTGTTTTTTGGTTCTAGCAAGCAAAAAAAGTCTTCAAGGAGGAGTTACACTTTGGACTAACTGTCTGAAGCAGTTGTAATTGCAAAGCGAACCGAAAAAATCAGAGAAACCGCAGCAAAGTTTGCAATTCCTTTCTTTAAATTTGCGAAATAATGTTTTTGGATTATCAAGACTAACAAACCTGGTCCAGAAACCGTTTTGATCACCAAAGAAGAACAGAAAATTTAAGACACAATAATTTACGTTGTAAAAATTGAATTTTCTGTCACTGAGACAAGATTGATATCAACGAATTTGACGTCCCCCGACAGAATTGAAAACTTTGACGAATTGGGATTCGAAATTGTTCAAAGAAACTCTAAAGCTCTTTAAAGTGTTACTGGGTCTGAAAAAGTGTACAATTTTGCAAATAATTGCAAAAAGGAGGCGTATACAGCTCTTTTTGACTGCGCAGCTTCGGAAAAACAATTTCACCAACGATTATTTACGTTGGCACGGCGATTTTTTTTGCCTTAAAAATTCCCATAGCTTTTTTTTTTTTTTTTTAATGTTGATTTAGGTGCCCCAAGATGTCCTTACGGTTTTATCACAGAGCACCGCGGAAGAGCATTTTATAGGAAGTTCACGCCTCCTTCCCAACCGATGTCCCAAAACTTTCCCAGAGGTGGGGTTTGAACCAAGGATCTTAGCTTTATTTTAAGAAATACGAAATTTGGTCCAAAACGTCCGCATTTTTTTTATTTTTTATGAAAAGTTGCAAAAAATTACCATCTTTATCAATGAACTAGGACTATAGATATATATTTATTTATTTTTGTATATTATGTATTTTTAAGTGTAAATATATATGGTGTGGTTTTTTATAAAATCTGCTCTTTAAAAGCTATATAGATATTGAAATTCAATTTATTAAAAAACTAGTGCTAAAACTAGAAATAATCCTGGATAGACTAAATGACGGTTTCCCTAACTATCAATACTATTACTTATAAAGACAAATTTAAATTGTATCTCAAATTCCAGTTTACAACTATATGTTTAAATTACAGTTAAACAGTAGTTTTAAGCAAAATAGACACAAAAATCACTGTTTTTTAATGAAGTACATATATACTTACGGCATCAGTCATCAGAAGGTATATATTTTAAATTGGGATTTTAGATATACACATTATGAACCCATGTGTGAATCTTTAGATCATAAGATGCATCATGGATGGAGTCTATCCACGAGTTTGATAGTAAGAGATATGACCAGGGGTCATATCTCTAATAATTTCTCAGCGTTCAAAAATTATGACCATATAAAATTTGCAACCCCTTCAAATTGAGGGGAGCTTAAACTTTATATGGTCATTTTTTTAAACGCTAAAATATTTTACTATGAAATTTAAAATTTATCGATGAATATAATTCTAGTTGAAAATAATTTAAAAAATATTTCATCAACTTGTTGCTCTCACGTTTGGGGCAGGAGGAGGGGGTAGGAGTGCTGAAAATTTGAGGCTTTTTTTGTTCCCAGGCTCAAATCATCGCAATTTTTTGAAAAGCATTATTATTTGACATAAGTATAAAGATATAAATGTTTGGAGTTTGCTCCATGTCTGGAAGTTAGATATCTCGAAGACCAAAAAATGCTGGCGCCACCTCTGTATATGATCCCGTATACACCATCAGAATGGGTTGTAGGAATCTCAGATGAGAGTTGGCAAACCTCTAAAATATTTTATGAATATTTGTCAAACGGCCTTGTTAAATGTCTCGACAAAAACAAACTTAAAAGACCTGTCCTATTTTTTGTTGATGGTCATAAAAATAATATATCTTTCTTAAATGTCCTTTAAAGATACATTCAAACTAAAATAAAACCTTAAACTGTCCATTATTGTGGGTAGCTGTATGTTGAGAAGTTATGATAAGATTTCAATTTTACATATTTTACAAAACGACCTAAAAGCCTTTTTCTTAGCCAATAAAGCATATTTTTTAATACTAAAAAAATTACCAGCAAATCTTTGTAATAAACGGAGTAATTCGTTGAATTAAAAGAATTTCGAAGAATACGTAAATAGTTAACTTTACTCCGTCAATTTTTCTGTTTTTGAAAACGGATTATTGCTTCGTTAATTTAACGGAGTTTTTTTTAGAGTGTAGAGAATGGTAAAGAGGTACTCAAAATCATTTTATTAAAATGTTAGATCTTTATCATTTAGATTCTATTGCAAGCTTACATCAAACTTTCAGTAACCATCAGGATATGAATAAATGTTTTACAAACAAGAGTTCTGACTGCAAAAAGTCTTTTAAGGTATCAATAAATTCCTTGTCTTGACTTGTATGTTGCAAAATACAAGTGTTCAATAAGTGGAGAAAAATGTTTAGTGTTCAATCAGTGGAGAAAAATGTTAACGAAGTGAAAAACATTTTTATTCATGTTGGATTGTTACTTATTTATTATATTTATTTATTACGTTAAAACGTTAATTCGTTATGTTTCAAGGTTATATATAACGCGACGTTTTAACTAAAAGCTAATACGAAATTAACTTTTTTTTATTCTTTTCCAGCTGGTAATAGTTTTTGGTTTTAACAGATGTGTTGCATTTATACCAGCGTAGCAAATAATATAGAAATTACGCTTTTTTTAAAGCCAGAACTAAGTATAGATCCATAAATACGTACACAAGTATGGGTAAAGGGATTTACCCAAAAACCTACGTATGAGTACAAGGTGGCATGTGTGTGTGTTTGTATTTGTGTTTGTGTGAGTGTTTTGTTATGAAACTTTGTTGTTATAAGCGCAATATTTTGCTTTATTAACATTATTTTAACTTAGGTACATATTTTGCTAGAAAAAATTAGGTGTCTGCTACATATTATTTTTCAATGGAATTTGGTATGAACATAGAAAAAATGTTTTTATAGCGGGCCTAGTAGATTCAAAAATAACCTAACACACCCTTGACATCAATTTTATATCTAATTAACAAAGAGGTTTTTCTGATGAGCAACTTACGCCAAGCAAGCCATGATAAAATGTTCGAATATTTAATTACAAAATCCTTCGTGTAAATTGACTGATACGCACATACCTATTCATATATACTATGCATAAATTAATTGAAACTTTTTCGAGAACGATTCTACTAAACTCGGTCTGATTACACAAAATTAGGTATTATTAGAGATGTCACGAATTGTGATCTTGCCGAATACCGAATATTCGGCTAGGCACTCGGTCGAAGCATTCAATATTAGATTGCTGACTATTCGGCAACACTTAGTTAACTTTAAAGTTTCCGACCAACTTAATTGAAATAACTACATAATGTATAAATAATCATACTCTACTACTATTCAAAAAGATTACAAAAATAACCAGCTCAGGTATATCTTGCATTTTAACGTAGTTTTAGAAATTGCTATACATAGCACAAAGAACTATAAACTTATTAAAAATGATATTTTCATTCTAGCTTAAAGAATTGTTTAACTTTAACGGGAATGTCAGTTATACTAATTTAACTAAACTAATTTAATTATACTAATTTTGTTCTCTTTTTTATTGATACACGTTTCGAAACTAATTTCATTGGTTAAAACAAAAATAAAAAAAATTAAATGCTCTAAAAATGATTTAGTCTGTGAAAGGTTAATCATGGGTAAATGCATTTTTCTATTATAGACTTGTTTGTAAGTAATCGTTTAACGAGCGGCGTGTTATTGCATTTCAAAAAACATTAAATTAACCTTTTAAAGGAATTCTTATCAGAATGTCGATTCATAAAAGAATCAAATTGAAAAAATTTCATATCAATATTTTTAACAAATTACAACTTAAAAAAATTAAATGTAAAAAATTAAATGTAAAAAAAAAGTTAAATGTAAAATAAAAAAAAAAACATTTCTTGAAAAAAAAAAAAAGTTAAAAAACTCGAGAAAATGAGAGAAAAGTATCCTGTAGACCAAAAGTATTGTTCGAGATATTAAAAAGTTCGAGATATTAAAAAGTTCGAGATATTAAAGTTCGAGATATTGAGAGGATTTCAGCTAAAAAGAGTACGTAATGTCCGCAAAAAAAAAAAATCTAGTAAAACTAATGAGTGTCACGAACATATGAAACATCACTATTATCTAAAATGTCTAAAATAATTAAAATGTTTTATCTATCAAAATTTATACCAGTGGTTTTGACTGCAGATAAGCTTGAATCTAAGGGTAAACATTTCTTTGCCATTAAAACAAATTGTATTCATGGTAATGTAATACAGAGTAACATTGAATTAAAATGTTTTGCAATGGTTCTTAAAATCAATTATGTTGTGCCACAATACCAACATTTTTAATACCAATGAGTTTCGGTCTATTTTACCAGCACCTACAAAAAAAAAAAATTTACATATCGTATAATAACATAATAATAATATAATAACAATAATAATAATATCTATAATAATACAAACAATATAATTATAATAAAATATAACTAATAAGAATAAATATAAATAATTATTTGAAAAGAAAGGTGTCACTCAAACAGAAGCATGATCAAAGGAGTGACACCAAATAATTGTAACAATAATAATTAAAAAATAATAACATTATCTATAATAATACAAATAACATGATGACATGAGTGTCACTCATGATAAAAATGAGTGACGCAAATTAATTATAACAATAAGTATAATAATAAAATAATAAAAATAACAATATGAACCGAAAATCGCTTTGAAAAACCAAAAACAAAAAATTTACAACAAAGATTACAAACAAAACATAAAATTACGGTTGATTAAATTATTACGTTTTGTACAAAACATAATAATGTAATCAGTCGTAATTTTATTAATATAAAACATTATTGACTTTCTTTATTTTCTTTTTTCTTCCTTTTCAACGGTTAAAAAAACACGACCGCCATTTGCGATGACCTTGCAAAGACCTCACGGACGGGACGAACGTAAGTTTTATGATCTTACCAGGACCGAAAAACCAGTCAAAGTTGTCAAAAAAGAATCCGGAGGTGGCCGTTCCGGTCAATCAGGAAGATGACTAAGGAGATGTCTGTCAATGAGAAAATAATTCGAAGGGTGATAAAGCAGGACCTAAAGGCCAAGGTAAGAGCCAGGGTGAAAAGGCACATATGTAAATTTTGAAAAGGAAAATAAATATCTTGTTGTTGTTGTCCGGACCTGATAAAAAGGTTAATCACATCGTACCGTGCTTTTGGCCATGTCTAACTGCACCATGATCTCCTTAGTCGAGACACCATTTACGTACAGCTGAATTATCGAGTAGTTTCATCGTTGACAAAATTAACGTTTTTTTTGTTAATGTTGGGATCAATGACCCACAGAACTCTTAAGTTAAGTAAATAAGAAAATCGACCATAGATTTCTAAAAAGTTCAAATTTTTGGCGCCAAAGTTAGTCCGGAATGCACTCAAAATCGCACATGTTAGAATATTTGAACAAATTTTTTTAAATAGAACTGCAATTTATGAATACATTTAATGTTTCATTAAAAAAATCATTCACCGTTTAAAAGTTATTACCGTATAAAGATTAGAACCTTCTCAAGACGGTTGTCTTGTGGAGGTTTTCGTCAAGTAGGTAAGTTTTCGTAAGTAGTAGTGTTGGTGATATGCGTATGTGCGTGTGTTGCAATTTTGCAATATGCAATTTTGTTAGTGTGTAGTTAAAAAAAAAATATTGAACCAGTATTTTCAGTCTTATTTTTTTTTGCATAAAGTGAAGCATGCTGGAGTAGTTGGAGGGTGTCCGGTATTTTAGGAAAAGATATCTGAAAACCTTAAGACTTAAGTAAAAACCTATTATTTGAAAGACATTTATTTTGAAAATCATAAAGTTATTATTTTTTTTAATTATATTTAGGTTTTTTAAAACCTAAAAACAACAAGTTAACTGGAATCAAAAGCTTTAAAATGCATTTGATTACAGCTAACTTGTTTGCATTTTATTCGGATCCGTGTTAGAAATCTACCGTAATTTTTTAAGATATTATTTCCTTTTTCCGTTATACAAATAATTTTTAGGTAACAAATTGTTAAGCGGTTTTATTATATTACAGTTTTATTTATTTTATGTAATCTTTTTGATATTTTGAAAGTTTATGGCATAGATTATTAATTGATTTTCACCAGTAGAATAAATAGTAAAAATAGAATTTAGCTATTTAAAACTATCAAATTTAACTCCAAGACACCATTATGTGCGTAGCGAGAGCAGAATAAAAATGGCAAATAGTTCGAAAAGTAATTTATTAGAAGCTTTAAAGACGCATATTAAATCAGATACAGCAGATTCAATTTCAAATGATGGTAAAAATTTAATGTATATTGTCTAAGTTACTTTTGGTAGATGCAATTTTTTTTTGTATCGAGTATTTTTTGTATAAATCTTTTTCAATTTGTGTAAAGTTTTACCTTTTTTCAAGGTGTCAAAAAAAAGTTTAAGAAAAAAATTTATGAACAATAACATGGCTAGAATAACTTTTTAAATACTTACTAATAAAAAAATAAGTATAGTTTTAAAAGTATTTTTGACTAATACTCTATGATAATATCTGACTAATTGAGTTTTGTGTAGTCTGATTATGAAACCAATGGTAGTTATTTTCATTCTTTTACATTTTAATTTCTTGTTATAAGATAATGTGATAAGATTAAGTGTTTTTTATCTTATCATTAAGATGATAACGGTAAAATCTCACTGATTTAATTGGCAATATAAAGTTAGTATTTTTTAAGTAGTTTTACTAGACTAGATTACATTATATAAGTTACAATATCTAGTTCACAACTTTAAAGTCTAAGAAAAGTACTTTTTTTTTTACACTTCTTGATTATTTTTTGTTTTGTTTTTTTGATTAATTTAGTTTTGTTTATCAATCTCCAGGCATTTAAAAGTTTTGAGTTACAGCTGGATAAAAGAAGAAAAAAAAAAAAACCTGATTGTTACTTTTTTCTGAATGTAACTTTTTTCTGAATGATAATTTTTAATATACTTTTTTAAGCATTCAGTTATATTAGTTTATTTGAAAAATTTGTATGAAAATTTCAAATTGTTATATTTAATGCTAATACTTAATGTTAAATAATAAATACAAATTAAGAGTCAAACTGTTCTAGTACTAAAATAATATCTATGTTGATCCACACTTTAAAAAAATATTCATCCAAATATTAATTTAATGTTATATTTAATTAATTGTTATAGCTATTATATATTATTGGAAAAAGGATCAGATCAAATCAAATCAAATATATTCTGAATAAAGTTGTTACATCAAGGATATTTACAAATAGTAATTTGTACTAATATAAAGTAAACACCTGTCAAACTAAATAAAAATAAGATGGAGATAGTAATAATAATAATTATAATACAAGTAGGAATAATAAAAGTAATAGTAGTGATTATAGTGATAAAAAAAATAATAGTAGCGATTATAAAAAGAATATACTATAATAATAATAATAATAATAATAATAATAATAATAATAATAATAATAATAATAATAATAATAATAATAATAATAATAATAATAATAATAATAATAGCAATAATAATAGCAATAATAACAACAAAAATAATAACAACAACAATAATAACAGTTACAATAATATTCATTATGATAAAAATATAGTAATAATAACAACAACAGTGATAAGAGAATACTATAGAAACATATCAGTTTATAATAATAAATTTAATAATTGATACTAAAATTAGTAATATATCACGATAGAAAAGAGAAAAAATAAAAGATGAATAGAAGCATCGCGTTAGGGTTATAAATAATAAGTTGTAAAAAGGTATAAGATTTATAAAGAGTATTTTTCTAAAAAATGGTTAAAGAGAGCAGTTTTAAATTTTGAGAATGATTTAAGAGATTTTAATTGGGAAGGGAGATTGTTCCAGGTTTGTATGCTTTTATATTGTATGGATTCGTAGCCATAATGAACAGTTCGGTATTTAGGTACAGATAGTTTAAAGTTGAGAGCAGATCGTAGAATATATTTACAGTTTTCCCTATAACTAAAAATGTTGATAAATGTAAGAGGTAAGTTATTATGATTTTGGTTCCAAACAAATAGACAATTTGATAGCTGAATAAGATCAATACAGTATCTTAGTAGTGAAAAAAATATTGAAATTGAACAATTCCTTAAAAAGTTTTGACGGTTTAAGTACCAATTTCCAATATTGATTCATTAAAGAAACTGTGGTCAAATTAAAGTTTTTATTAACTAAAATTGTCATAATTTTTAATTCTTATCAAAATGCAAATAACTTCATATCAATAGGTGAATATAGTAGTAGGCTACGAATTTGGTTAACACTCGCTTAAACAATTTTCTGTCTACCTGTAAAACAACATGATCAAAAGTTGCTCTGATGTTACTTAAAATATTTTCATCCATGGTCCAGTAAAAAGTTTTGCAAACACATTGTTTGATTGCAGTTATACTTACTTATAGTTACTTATAGTTGCTTGCAAAATTTTATATTGTTCGATTTGTAGTATATTATATGTCACTGTGATGCTTTATTAAAATAAAACATAAAACAGAAATGTAGCATAAGGCAAGTGTGTAATAGATTGTGAAGGCAGTTTTTACGATGCCTTGGAATGATATTGTAGTAATTTGTTTTTGCCTATAAAATTTACAAAATTTTGTTGATTACCTTTTATTTCTTTATATCTCATTTTGTTTATAGTAAAAAAAAACAAGGTTCCCATGCAGTCATTTTCAAACTACTTGCAACACTTATTATATAGAGACTTCAACGTTAAACAGCATAATGTAGCAATTGCATCAAGGTGGGTGCAAATGGCGGTTCATTTCATTGAGATTTTTTCTCCAGGTTGCACATACTTTGCATATATCAAGATGATAAGGAGCAACTCTTCAGACATTGTGTGTAAATTTTTAGAAATTGAATTATGAAATTTTTTATAGCTACACAACTGAAAATCAGATAAAAGTTAATGAATAAGAGTCAAATGATCAGTATTTAGATAACTTATTTGACATTATACTAAAATAGACTGCTGCCGGGGGCTTCATGTACTGAAGCATCATCTGACTGAATAGATTGATGCAAGATGTGCCACTACATTGTCTAAGAATTTGGATTGGGGGCAGCAGTTTTCTTTTTAATATATTTTTTTCTTTTTCTGAAAAAGTCTTATGGAATAAAGTAACCAAAAAAGGTCGAAAAAGGTTGAAAAATATATACATTATAATAGATATATATATATATCATTTATCATTTAATAGAAATTCTGGTAAATGTTGCTTATTTAGCATATTTTAATACAAATTATATCAAGTGGGTTTTTAGCACTGCCCAAATGTCAAAGATAATTCAAATTACAACTTTTTGTTCAAAGCATGTTCAGCATGCTGAATAATAGCTGTTAGGTTATATTTGTCCAGCCCATACCATATATCTTAGCTATAGCAGCTAATATCTGTTAAAAAGAAAAGTGAAGTCTGAAGATACTTGAAAGTTATCTTAGCATTTATTCAACAAGAATTTAACATGAAATCAACAATTTAAATTTTTTATATCAATCAAGTGAATAAAAAATTTAGCATCTAAAAATCGCATCAAAATAAAGACCAACTGTACTAGTTATCAGGGATTTTTTTCCAGATATTTCCGGATTTTTTTATTTTTTCCGGATATTCAAAACATTTTCAATAAATGCAAGTTGAAGTATATATTTTTGTAATATATTTTGTTTTAAAGCTTTTTCACTCATTACTTTTGAAAAATTATGAAGTGTCAAAAAAAAATTAGAAACAACTTAGCTAAAAGCGAAATTAAAAAGAAAATAAGGGAAAGCAAATTCCGGATTTTTTCTGGATATTTCATTCAAACAATTTTCCGGATTTTTAAAATATGACTAGGATGATCTATGAGTTATAAAAAACTTCAAATCATTTCTTAAAAGAATTTTTTTTACTCAACTCTGAAATAAGCTTTAAAATGTGTGGCACAGAATTTCTGCACAAAACTTATTTTTGTAAAATGCTAGTTTTGCATAACTATGCCATCAATGTGTTGTAATGAAAGTTTAGACTTTGCAATTTCTTAAATTTAATTCTAGATTTATAGTATTTTACATTTACCAAACTTTGTGCAACAGAACCTTTTTTTCTGTTGCACAAAGTTTGGTAAATTTTCTATTGGTTAAATAGAACTATTGGTAAAAAATAATTTTAGAAAAATTAAAAGTTTTTAAATTTTTCTAGAACTATTTTTCCTTGTTAATAGAAATCAATTTATTTTTCAGATAGTTTCATAGTAAATGCAGATGAATCGTTATGGCCCAGTTTATTTGGTTGTTATTTTATGGGAATTTCTTCAGAAGATAGTGACAACAGGAATGAAACTGCAGAAAATCAACAAAATGATGATGACATGTTGTTTTATGTTCAATCCAAGTATAATCAATCTGGAAATGAAGTATGTTTAAACATTATTTAAAAAATAAATTAAGAATGTATTTTTTCAATGCCAAAATGTTGAAACAGAAAAGTTAGTGTTTTGCTACAAAATAATATCAGGGTGTTATTTCAAATTTCAGCATTTTTGCGAAATTGGGAAATATAGGTGCAACTAAAAAAAAAAAAAAAAGGTCCTTGCATTATGCAATTAAATTTTAATCAAAATAATTTGTCTTTTTTTGCTGGGAGTTACATTTACAGCAAGATTATTTTTCTACTTTATATATATTTAATTTTAATTAATCAACTTGTTTCATTATGAGCAATCTTCTAAAGTTTTCATTTAAATTGCTTTTTTTCTTTGTTTTTGATATACTGCAGCCGTTTTTCAAACAAATTACAGAAAAGCGCAATTAAAAAAAATTAAAAAAAAAAAAAAGAAAAATCTGAACTCGAGAATAAGTGTCAATAAAAATTAAAATTTTTTTTTTTAAACTTTTGAATGAATGATCTTGTTAATGACAACACGTTTTTACACATAAAAAAAAATTGATCAATTTAATTCATTTTTTCGTACTTTTTTTACTAGTCTAGCGCGACACTTTAAATCTGAGACTGACTTTACTTTTTTTTTTTACTATTATCTTTTAAACCAATTGGGAATACCGCGTTATATGCGGAGCCATCAGGCTGGGTAACACCCTGATTATATGTGTAAAAATTATTGATTTCTGAACTATTGTCTGACATTTTTCTACTTTATTTTATCCTGTTCCACACCCTCCCCCCCCTGCCCATTTATCAAATATACTCCATTTTGTTCCTAAAGTTTAAAATTTATTTATGATATATACAAAAAATCTCAAAAAAACAAGGTTTGCGTATAAAAAAGTTGATTGCAGTACAGCAACCAACTTGCTTCTGGGCTAGTACTGTGGTTAGAATTGAACCTAATACTTTCTAATTTATGAAACAAATGTACTTTTTTTTAGTTTTCAATTAATTTTAATTTCAAAAAATTTTTTTTTTAGATAAAAGTTTTCAGAAAGACATCAAAAAATTTACCTGGGTAAAAATGTTTGTGATTATAAAAAAAAACTATTTTGGTTTTATTTTTTTACAACCATATTAAATTTTTGATGCAGGTTAGGTGATCCACACATAAATTGGATGGAAAGTGTTTACTTGAACATGATAATGCATGATATGGAGTACACTTTAACATGTGCAATTTGCACCCGTCTTCCCACCAATGATTTAAAAGTTTTGTATAAGACAAGTCTTGTAGGCTATTTTTAATTTACATTAAATTGTATTTTATAAATTTTTTGTGTTATTTATTTATTTTATTTTATTATTTTCATAAAATAAGATATATTTTAATATCAGGGCTGTGGAGTCAGAGTCGCAACATTTTTTAGAGGAGTCGCTAAACAAAATTGCTACTTCGACTCCATTAGTAAAGCTGCTCGCTATTGCACATGCATGAACAAAATATTTAACTTTAAAAGAATTTTTCATATATTTGGTGGAAATTTTTTAAATTATTATTTTTTTAAGTTGGCGTTAGATAATATTTACATTTTATTATGTAAAATAAATACTAATATAATAACCTTCAAAGTTTGTCAATTTAAATCAGATAATTAAAAAAATGAATAAAATAAAAAATTATTTGCTGATCATTTAAAGAATAAAGTAAAGTATTTTTTTTCCAAAAGACCTTTATAAGATAAAAGGCTTAGGGCTCATGTGTGATTTCTGCATAGCCTCTGGGGCCACTATGCCACCATTTATTTATACAACTTTTTATAGCAATAAGAAAAAATTACTTCAATTCCTATTTGATAATAAAAAATAAATAAAAAAAATAAATTCATTTTATATTATTGCTGTTTATTATATATTTTTTGTATTTTGCTTTATAACATAACACATATATAATTTAATTCTAATTAAAATTATATGATTTAATTTAAAAATTATTTAATAAAAATATATAATTCTGATAAAAAAATATTAAGTTCAATTCCAATAAAAAATAATATATTTAAGTTTACATTGGTGATAAAGTTAAAGTTTATGCTTGGGTTTAACTTAAATGTTATTTTATTACTAAATATTACTAAATATTGTTTAATATTTAAATTTTATTTATTCTTCAAAAAAAAAAAAAAAAAATTAGCTCATTGATAGTGCAATTATTTTATCTGTTTTCCTTCCTAAACTTTTTTTTTTGGTACAAAAAATTAAACTCACACTAAAATGTGTTCCAAAGCTGCTTCGATTTGTACAAAACATACTTAAAACATTTTTCAAGGCAAGTGAAAGGGCAGCAACATACAATTTTTAATAAATGGTGCTTAGAAACCTGAAAAATCTTTGCCTTTGAAAATATAAAATTTAGTATTGGTAATTTATTATATTACAGTAGTTTAAAAAAGTTAATGTCTTTAAAAAATAAAATAAAAAAGAGAATTTTATGATGTTAAATTCGCATTAGGCCTTTACAGGCTTGGACAAGAATGGCGTGCGATCGCACTCTGTAACTGACCACGCTAATATTTTTATTTCTTAACAACTTGACCACAGCTTTTTTGATGTTATTACAAACTTTGAATGCAATAAAAAAAGTGTTACGTTATAAATATTTTTTAATCGTTGATCTTTTCTAAAGTTTTTTATTTTAAGCAAAGGCTTTAAATAAAACCATAAAATTAATTATAGTTATTGTTTACATAAACGCTTGTGTAAATTAATAAAAAAGGTAACAAATAAGTTTTTTTTCTGTAGGCATTTATTTTTTATGATAAATTTAAACGTTTGAAACTATTTTCTTATGTCTTCCTAAAACATTTTTAAACCATTATTTTTGGAAAGAATTTTTTAAGTTACTTTAATTTGTGAATAAGTTCAAAAGCCTTTGTGACTACTAACTTTTACACTTTTTATGTCAATTACACAAGAATATAAAATAACTTTGTTTACTTATATAAGCATGTATTTTGTTGAGTTTAATGAAAAAGTTTTGAAGCATTTTGTTATGTTCATACGATTAATTTTTATGATTAAACTTACGATTTTTTAAAATGTTTTTAAAATAAACATTTTATTTTTTGTAAACGATTTTTTTTTTTTTTTTTTTCAATTTCGTTAAAAATGAATGAGATTACCGGTTTTTACATCCATTTAAAACAATCATGACAACCATTTAAAACAACCATGACATTCATTTAAAACACCGCGACAATCAATTAAAACAATGTGATTTTCAATTAAAACAATCGTGATTTTCATTTAAAACATATAACGCATGCGCAATCTCAACATTCTATATTATTTAAAAAAAAAGGTTTTCTTTATATTTTTTTTATTCGATTTTTTAAAAAAGTTTAAAATTTATTTTATTTAAAATATGTTTATTTTCCAATTACTGTCGAGGTATGTCATCTGACCTAAGACATGCTTCGAAAAAGCTTTCGCAGTGTGTGTAATAGTTTGATAAGTTAACATTAGGAATAGATAAGTATGCCTCACGCATTCTTGAAATTAGTTCATTTCTTCCAGCTGGGGTCGTATTTCTTCGCATGTTATTCTTAAGATAAAAAAAAATCTCTTCACACAGATTCAAGAATGGTGAATATGGTGGCAAATATTTTATTTGAATGTTCTGAGCCCTCATCTCAACATTATGATGGATTCTGACATTATCCATCACCAGGATGAATATTTCCTCTGTCCCCAAAACTCATACAACTTCATCAATATATTCTTGAAACAAAACTGTGTTGACTGACACACTGACAGCTTCGCAGTGAATAATATTTAAACCATTGATGGCCAATATCATTGAAATGTTATGTTGCCTAGGGTGAATGATCGGGTTTGGTGTTACTCCTTTTCTTGCCCATGAATGACTGCGAAACATGTGTAAATTAAATGAACTTATCATCAATAAAAACAATATTTCAATAGCGATTAATAGGCGAGTTTGAAGTATACCACCTAACATATTTAATATGAAGATTTTTTACATTGTCGTTTCTTCTTTCATAAATTGGTAGAGTAATTTTATATGTGTATCCAAGATTGGTCACCCATCTCCTGACAGTTTTAATTGATACATTTACATTTAAAGCATATTTAATTTCAATTATAGTTGTCGTTGTGTTATCGTTTATAAGCTCTTCAATTCTTCTTCTAATCTCTTCATTATAAATAATGTGACGAGCACCACCTCTAGAACCAGGAAGTGTTGAATTCGTTCAATCGTACCTTCTTAAAATTGATTGTATTGTGTTTTGATTAACTCCTGTTAATGATGAAGCTTCAGATTGAGTTTTTCCTTGATCAGCGACTAGATTTACAACAAGATCTCGCATGTTTTGGGAAACAAAATTTCGCGGCATGAAGATTCAGATTGATTTTTTTGTGGCAATGAAGTTTCAGATTGAATTTTTCTTTAATCAATGACCAATCTCAAAACAAATTTTTGCTTATTTTGGCAAACAGAATTTCGCTGCATGTTTTAATGAAAATCTAATATCCTCATGCGCTAAATATTTTAATAGGAAATCATGGTTGTTTTAATTATCATCATGCATGTTTTAATTGAACATCATGGTTGTTTTGCCAATACAGAATGTGTATAAAAAATAAGTAAAAAAATATGGTTTTGCACCCATTTAAAACAAACGTGACATCCATTCAAATTTAAAATAAGTTCCATTAAATTAAAATAATTTAATATAATATTAATAAAAATAAATTTAAATAATATTAGATAAATAAAAATATAAAGAAGACCTTTTTTTTTTAAATAATATAGAATGTTAAGATTGCGCATGCGTCAAATGTTTTAAATGAAAATCACGATTGTTTTAATTGAAAATCACATTGTTTTAATTGATTGTCGCCGTGTTTTAAATGAATGTCATGGTTGTTTTAAATGGTTGTCATGATTGTTTTAAATGGATGTAAAAACTGGTAAATCTTTTATAATAATTTTTTAGATTCGTTACGCAAAGCGCTTATTAATAAAGTTGTAATGCTCAAATTAAAATTAAATAATAAAGTTTGTTGGCAGTTTATTTTATTTAAATTGCAGGCGCATTTTTTAAATTTATTTTTCTATTTTTACAAATAAAAAGTTCAAAATCTTTTTTTCAAATAGACTCACTAATTAGAGCATGAAATTAGTAAAAATTATTATTTTAAAAAGCCTATTTTTAAATAAATTTAATAAAATTTGTTCTTTTATTAAATCAATCGTTATTAGTAATTTGTTATTTAATTTAAAAACGTTTTGTGTAACTTTAATAACGCTTGGAAAGATAAGTTTTAATAACGTTTATTTTATACGTAATTAAAAACGTAACAAAAAGTTTCGCTTAGAGTTTAAGTTTTTATTTTCATTTTAGTGCTTATATGATTTCTTTTTCATTGTGAATTTGTTTTTCGTTTCTTTTTTCGTTAGTTTTTTTTTTTTTCGTTGTTTTTTTTTTTAAATTTTTTTCCTAGTTTAAATTTAGCTTAGCGTTTCTACATTCAGAACATTTCTGAAATTTTTAACTTATCAAAACATATAAACATTGTTTATTAAACAATCGTGGTCAAGTTGTCAAAAAATAAAATCATTTGCGTGGTCAGCAATAGCGCTCGATCGCACGCCATTCCTGTCCAAGCCTGCCTTTAGCATTTTTTATTTAGTTCATAAGTGTGTTAAGCATTTTTAATTTAAAACAAAGCCTGGGCTTTGGTAATTTATATATATTAAAGCAATATACATGTTACCTATGCACAATATTATAAGAATGGTAACATAATAACAATATTATGACCTGAAATATAATAACAAAATTAAGACCTAGAACATAATAACAATAATTAGACCTGGAGCATAATAACAATTTGAATACTTGCCTTTTTTTTTTTTTTTTGCTTTGACAAAATTTGTTTAACGCTTTCACTCCCATATTTTATGATTGGTCAAAAAAATCATGATATGCAATTTATAAGTTAATAATGGCCTATATTGCAATTTTCTCAAAATTCACACTGTGGTAGTTTTTCAGTAGGATTTTGTTTGCACAATTGTTATATCGGCATTGGATGAGAGTTCAAATTCTTCTAACAGATAGTTTTTTTGGTTTATGTTATATTTACTTTGTAGACATTAAGAAGTATCAAAGTTTCAAATTTTTAAATAATTAAGTTTTTAAATAATTAAGCTTGGATAAAATAACTCTAAAACTTTGATTTCTTCTGAATTCTTTGTAGTGAAACATCTTTGAATTAAATCAAAAACATATTAATTTTCTACTTTTATTTTTTCTGGTTTATTTTTTATTCATTTTATCACTCATTAAGATTTTTTATTTTTTTAGTTTATTTATTTTTTATTTTTAGTTTTTATTTCTCTTTCCAGTTCTTATAACTTGTATATTTTTATTTTTAATTTAATTTTTTATGTTAGTTTATTTAGTGTTTTTTTTAAACATGCAAACTGAAAACATGCATAGAGCTGTGGCCAAGTTGTCAAAACAAAATGATATATGCATGATCATATAAGGCATGCAACTGTCTAGGTTCCTGAGAAGTCTTGGATGTTGTCTTAATTGATTATTGTTTTTTTTATAAAGTTAACCAATAATTGAATATTTATTAAAAAATAAATAAGCGTGTTGAATATCTCATACAAAATTATTAAATAAGAGTCTAGCATGTGTTATACTTGATAAGACAAATTTTTTTTGTGATGCATTGACAAGGCACAGCATTTAATACATTGAATTTAAAAATGAGCCTGACACACGTAACTGTGCTGCTTTGGTTCAGCTTTGGCTAGAAAATGTCCAACACAATTATTGCGCACACTCGTTTTAGGGTCAAAATGATTGCAATTTTTTCTCTTTAGTTGAGGAGGTTTTGCATTAAGTGAATTGGCTTCAACTGATCAATTTTTCACATCAGATGATTCAGTAAATTCCAGGTTCAGCTTCCAGGGTTCCTTTTCTTCCAAATTAATTTTCTTCTTTAAAAGTCAGCATAATATACGCTGCATTCTATAGACTTGATCATTTATTTAAACGCATTTTTTTCCTGAGAATTTCAGAACATTACGTCATTGATTGATTTTGTTTGTGTAAGAGATCAATTATGTGAACAAACAAAAAAGTCAATGACGTCACATACTCTTAAGAATAAAACTCTTAGGAATAAAACGCGCTTGAATAAATTATCAAGTCTGTAGATTGCAGCGTATATTATGCTGACTTTTAGGCGTACAATAAAATGGAAATTTTTTTTGATATTCAGTTATTCTTTAGTTTCAATCAAAAAAATTTAGCCCAAACATTTTTTTTTATCATTCTCTTTAATATGAACACAGCATGTCTCAGAGGTTTGGGATTAAAGAATTATTAAAGTACAATTAAAAGTTTTGACAAATTTTTACAAACTGCAAAATCACTTAGCTGAAACCCACAATTTGTTTGTACTTCAGTTACCTTGCCATCATAGAAATAAAAATCATGTTTAGTATTCGTAAATTGTTTTAGACTCCCAGTTTTTTAACTTCTTTGGAAGATATTGTCTCAGAAGATTCTTGCCCTTGTACATAATAATTTGTTCATCTAGGTTCAATTTCTCTTCTGGCTCAATTTTTAGACAATTCTCCATTTTCTGCCTCAGAAACATTGAGGTCAGGCAACAGTATCAGTGGTGACTGGACTATACCACTCCTTGTTCATTAGCAGTGCATCTGCAATCACAGTCTATCATCTAAAATTTAATAACAATTACAAGAATAATACAAACAAAATATAGTGTGCACTCAATTGAGTATAATTGTTAGAGTGTTTGTATTATCAGTGCTTTATGTACAATAAAAAAAATTTGGGTGGCAGTACTCTTTGATTCTGGTGAAATTTAGTGGAAAATTGGCGTTTTTTTGCAAAAAAAAAAACACAACAAAAATGCCATAAAAAATGTAAAAAAAAGGTCCTAAAATTTAAAATGGGCGTCGCCCAAATATGGTCAAGGCTGTTGAAAATTGTCTAGAATAATCCCTGATATATATATATATATATATATATATATATATATATATATATATATATATATATATATATATATATATATATATATATATATATATATATATATATATATATATATATATATATATATATATATATATATATATATGTGTGTGTGTGTGTGTGTGTGTGTGTATGTATGTATGTATATAATAATAATAATTATCAAATAATACATATTTTTTATTTAAAAATCACTTATTTTTATTATCGGTATTTTTATTGTTAAATATATTTAGTATTTTATTAATTATTTTTCATATTTTATTTTTTAATTTATATTTTTTATATATTTTTTGATTTGAAATGTTTATTTTAGAAAGTGCATGCATCACATCATATGAGAAGGTAAACCTTTTTTTTTAAATATGTGATGTTCCAAACTGACAAGTTTTTGCTTGATTCATGAAAGTTAACATTTTTAATTAGGATATGAGAATGTAAATTTTTTTTTCAAATATGTGATGTTCCAAACTGATATAGTTTGTGCTTGATTCATGAAAGTTAACATTTTTAATTAGGACTTCTGACAATTAAACTTACATAAGATAACTATAAAGATTTCTAACTGTTTACAGTGGCGGGATAGCTCAGATGGTTAGAGCGTTAAAGGAAAATTTAAAAACCCGGACTGTTGAACGATACGAGTTCAAATCCCATCACCGCCAAGTCAGCGCTTGAGTAGTACTTCGGTACACAAAAATGTTGGTCAATAATGGATGCTACTTTGGATTAGTCTTAATGACTATTTGAGGTTGTTCCTATGCTAAGCCAACAATATCTTCGAATATAAAAACATTGTATAGAAAAATATAGCATGAAAACTCAAATAAAAAAAAAAAAAAAAAAAAATACACATTTAATTAAAAAGCATTATTTTGACTAAAATATAGGAGCGTTATAGCTAACTCTTTCTTTTTTTCTTCTTCAACATTTTGTAAATAAAATACTACAAATTTTAGAGACATTTCGAGTTTTTAACAATTATGCTTTAGTTTTATTTTAACTTCAGGATGGATAGCAAAGGAGAGAGTTCAGATCTATCATATCCAAATATATTTTTCATAATTGATAGTTATGATGAGGTATTTCATTTAAATAAATGTATTTCAATCAATTAATGTTTGTTATATTTCAAATTTAAAAAAATCTAATTTCTTTAAAACAAAATGTTTTTATAATATTCTATGTAGTTGTAAAATATCATGCTATTAACATTTTTTTTAAGGTTTTCGAGTCAATGTCTATTGAACAAGAAGAAATACTTTGTGTTGAACTCTCTGCAAAATATAAGGTAATTTAAAAAAAAATGTTTTTTACCATTTCTTATAAAAATTTATTTCTTATAAAAATTTATTTATAATAAAAATTTATTTCTTATAAAAATTTATTTATAATAAAAATTTATTTCTTATAAAAATTTATTTCTTATAAAAATTTATTTCTTATAAAAATTTATTTCTTATAAAAATTTATTTCTTATAAAAATTTATTTCTTATAAAAATTTATTTCTTATAAAAATTTATTTCTTATAAAAATTTATTTATTATAAAAATTTATTTATTATAAAAATTTATTTATTTAAAAATTTATTTATTATAAAAATTTTTTTCTTATAAAAATTTATTTATTATAAAAATTTATTTATTATAAAAATTTATTTGCAATTTTACTGATAATGGTTTTATTAATTTTTTTCCAAAAGGGAACAAAGGAGAACATTGTAATATTTCTTGGATCAGTTCGTCATGAGGCTTTGTTGATGACTTACGAGGCTAAAGTATGGTTTATTTATATATATAATCATAAATATTTATTGTCTTTCACTTCATCATCATCATCATCATCATCATCATCATCATCATCATCATCATCATCATCATCATCATCATCATCATCATCATCATCATCATCATCATCATCATCATCGTCATCATCATCGTCATCATCATCATCACTATCATCATATTAATATCATAGTAAATTTTTTTTTCATTAGACAACTATTGGCACCAAGTTTGCTCAAAAGATGTCATGGATAAATCTTGGAGGATCAACAGATCATTTTGAATATATTCGGATGCGAGGACCTTATGGAAAAGGATTTGCTGAGATGAGAATCGGATTATGTAAAAACAATTTAGTGGAGCACAATGGTATAAATAGACATAGAAACAAAGATGTAAACAGTTCTTCTATGTGAGTATGATGTATGTTAGGGTGAAGTGAATATTTCTAGCTAAAAGTTATTTAGTCTGGTTGTACTAAGGTTGACCATTCATATCAGAAATACTCTGTAACAATGTTCTAGGAAATTATCGTAAGGTGCTCTTAGGACTTTGGAAAACATTAAAAAACACCCAAAAATTGATGTTTGGACAATGATTGTAATAATTAAATTTTTTTTTGCCTGGGTATGCTAAAGGTGTATATTCTTATGAGTAATACTGTCTAAAAATTAGAATACTCTATGATGTTTATTTGAGGTGCTCCAAGATCTTTAAAATCCCCCAAAATCTATAAAAAAAAAATTCTGATAATTTCCTAATGAATCCTTTAAAACTTATAGTTTTAAGACAAATTTTTTAACTTTAATACTTTTTTTTGGGTTTTCTTTTTATGGTTAGATCATGGCAATTGAAACAGAGTTAAAAATGTACAAAATGAAGAAGCATTAACATGCAATAATAACATTGGGCATATGTTACTATTACATTTAACATTGTTTTATGGATGAGCATAAATGCTCATAATGTTTGAAATGTTTTCCATAATGTTTGAAATGTTTTGACATTTGGTGGCTAATTATATTACAGTTTATGAAACAACCATTACATAAGACGTGACTCTGAGGAGATGTTTATTACTAAACCAATTATGTTTACACATTACCATTAATGTTTTTATTTTCTATTCATAGGCCTTACATTTAGGGATTGCAATCCCGCATTGCAATGATTTCTTACATTTAGGGATTGCAATCCCGCATTGCAATCCCGCATTGCGTGATCCCGCAATCCTGCATTGCGTGATCCCGCAATCCCGCATTGCGTGATCCCGCAATCCCGCATTGCGTGATCCCGCAATCCTGCATTGCGTGATCCCGCAATCCCGCATTGCGTGATCCCGCAATCCCGCATTGCGTGATCCCGCAATCCCGCGGGATCCCACATTATTTTAGCGCATGCGAGATCCCGCAAAAACTACTGCGGAATCCGCGGGATTTGCGGGATCTGCAGGATTTGCTGAGTTTTGAAATTATTGCTTTTAAATAGAAAAAAAAGCAATTCTATAAACAAAGACGAAAAAGATATCAAATTAAAGTATTTAATGTATTTGCATAACAAATTCATTTAAAAGTTTACTAATCATTAAATGCACAATAAAGTGTATACTGAGAAACTCGTTCAAATTTTTTTTTGTTTTGTTAATGATTAGTCATAATATAGTCATTAAGTGCACAATGAAATGTATACTGAGAAACTCGTTCAAATTTTTTTTGTTTTGTTAATGACTATGTTGAAATTTTTGCTAATGAGTATATTGAAATTTTTGTTGATGAGTATGTTGAAAACGTTAAATTGAAAACGTGATTAATAAAAAGCGCACTACTTTTTAAAAAGACTTCAAAAATTATTTACATCAAGATTTTAAAACAAAAGTACCTACTAAGCATGTCACAAATTAAAACTATATGGAATTATAAAAAAAGTAATAAAGGAGAAAATGCGAAGTGCATGTTATGTTCGGCTATTTTAAAAATTAGTCAAAGATCAACAAAAGGGTTATTAATCCATTTAAAAACTAAACATGGAACTGATTTAAAATTAAAAATTTTACAACAACACGGAGCTTCAACTTCAAAACAGCATGAATCAGTTGAACTAGAGTCTAAAATATACATCGACTGCGAAGACGAAGAGGTAATTCTATCAAAAAAGGTCAAAACAATAGACAGGTTTTTCGTAAAAGAACTTTCTATGGAAAAAATGGTATCGCGCATGGTTGCTAAAGATGGCTTTAGATTTGATAGTTTTTGCACATCTTCAGATTTGCAGTATTTGTTTTCAAAGAGTGGTTTCCGGCTCCCTACTTCACCTAATACTATAAGATCAATGATAGTAAAATTCTCAGATTCTGTAAAAGCCGATATAATGCAAAAATTTATATCACTAAAAAAGCAAAATCAAAAGTTTTCAATAACGTTTGACGAATGGACATCACAAAATAGTCAGAGATACCTTAACTTAAATGTACATATGGGGGCAAAACATTTTAATCTTGGATTGATTTGAATCCATGGATCGTGTAATGCAGAATAATGCGTCAAGTTAATTGCAGGAAGGCTAAATAGATTCAATATCGACTTCCAATAAGACATTATCGCCATGACCACTGATGGAGCAAGTGTGATGGTGAAAGTAGGTAAAATGATGTCTTGCTATCATCAACTATGTTATGCTCATGGAATACAACTTGCAGTTATTGATATCTTATACCAGAAAAACAACGGAGAAGTCGAAGAATCGTTTACTACAAATGAAAATTGCGAAGAAGAAGATGAACATGAGAACACTGATGATTATGAAGTTATAAATAAAGAATATGGTTTGACAATAATTTTGGACCGACCATCTGCTGAATTGGTTAGCAATTACAAAGATCTCATGAAAAAAGTGAGAAAGGTTGTGAAAATATTTAAAAACTCTCCTGTCAAAAAATACATATTTACAGAAGTATATCCTACACGAACACGGCAAAAAGCTTATGTTGATTCTTGATTGTAAAACTAGGTTGAACAGTATGTTTGATATGTTAGAAAGATTTCATAGACTAAAAGTGTGTATTGAAAAAGCCTTATCTGATGTTGGGTCAGAAATTCGTTTGACTCAAGAAAAATGGTTCCAAATTAATGACTTAATTATTTGTCTGGCACCACTAAAACTTGGTCTTGAACTATTATGCAGGAGAGTATTGAACCTTGTCACTGCAGAAACAACTTTTAAATTTATGTTAGATAAATTACAAAAGCAATCATAACTTTTGAGCATTGATTTAGCCGCGCCACTTTGTGAGAGGGTTTACACAATGTTGTAATAAGAATTTAAATGGACTACTGGTTTACTTAAAAAATCCTAAAAAATATGAACAAGAAATTAAAAAAGATAAGAAAATACTTTTTCAATGCCGAAGAGAACCGTTATGCGTCAAGAAATAAAAAAATATTGACAAGAGTTTATACAATTGAAAGAAATAAAGACGAAGAAAATGAACTCGAAGAAAAAGAAGCTGTAGATTCTATTAACAATTTCCAAATACTTACTCCTACAATTCTATTGCTGAAAAAAGAATTGGAAAATCATATACAGAAAGACAAGAAAAGCTGGACAGAAAATGTAAAGGAGATACTAAATTTAGGTTTTTTAGACTTTGATAAATTATTGAAGCAGGAAATGTCTGCCTATGAAAATAACGGAGTAAGAGGCAAGTTTCCAGATATAGCTCATAATTACTTGATAACCATATCACCAACAAGCGTAGAGGCCGAGTGAGCTTTTTCAGCTGCTGGCTATATATGTAGTCCTTTGAGGAGTAGATTATGTGATGGTACTTTAAGTAGGGTCTGTTTGTTTAGAGCGCGTTTCTAATTAAAACTAAATGACGTTTTACGTATTTTTATTTTATCTTTTTGTTCATTTAATTAAGAATTATATTGATTTACAAATAAATTGTGTTTTTGGCTTCATTTACTTCATCTTATCAATTTAATAAGTTGAGTATATTTTTTCTGAAATAATTGAAAGAAAAATACAATTATCATTTTGTCTTTATAATGTGCATAAGAAATCTACCAATCCCGCGCGGGATCCCGCGGGATCCGCACATAAATTAAAAAATCCGCGCAAATCCCGCGGGATTGAAAATTGTGAGGGATTGCAATCCCTACTTACATTGTTGTTTATTTTGCAGTCAATATTTTATTTTGTAGGTTTCTGTTTGGAGATATATTTGTAGTATATATTTTTTCATAACTAGATATGTTTGTAGTGTATTTTTTAAAAAATTCTATACCTTTTTTAGAATTTAATTTAATTAAAACCATATTGATGGTGGTATATTGTTTTCTTGAAGACTTAAATGTACCAACGATTGAAGCAACACATGCTATTCTGAAAAGATTATTGCAATAATATTGTATTTCACTATTAACTAAATGAAAATAATATTTCATAAAAGTTTTAAGGTGTTGTAAGCATTAATTAAGTAGTTTTCTAATCAAAGTATCAAAAGTACAATCAAAGTAGTTTATTAGACTGAACTATTTAAAATATTAGACTGAACTATTTAAAATATTAGACTGAACTATTTAAAATATTAGACTGAACTATTTAAAATATTAGACTGAACTATTTAAAATATTAGACTGAACTATTTAAAATATTAGACTGAACTATTTAAAATATTAGACTGAACTATTTAAAATATTAGGCCTTAAAAATAATGTTTATAATAACATTTATAGCATTATATTAAATATTAGGCCTTAAATATTGATGTTTAAAAATAGTAAAAATAAAACTGTCTGCCACACTGAAGGTAGATCAAAAATGTCTGTGAGCATTTTATATATACTTGCGAACCATATTAAGAAATGTAAAAAATGTCTATCTGAAGTCAAATTCAAATTTTTAAATAAAGACATAGTAATGCAAATAAATCCATGATGGGAACAGCCCAAAGTGAAACAACCTTAATTTATTTTGTTTATTATCTCATGGTTCATATTTTCGCGTTAATTAATAATCAAGTCACATGATGTGTTTTAACCTTTTCAATTAGTTAGAACATTTCAAAATTCTGAGTACCTCTTAGTAAATTGGTTCATAATTAGTCGTAATTAGATAGTTTGAACACATGAAATTTGAACTTTTTAATATATAGAAATAAATGTATATTTAGTCAAAAGATTTTTCTTTTTAAATGTAATATGCGGTAGTAGGGAAGTGATAATAAAGTGATAATAAATTATAGTGATTTATAATAATATTAAATATAAATACACTGTATTTACTGTGGTGTTTACAAGCTGAATACATTCACCTTGTAAGCATAAAAGTTAGTTAAAAGTTAATTTGGATTTCAAATTAGTTTGGATTTTGATAGGGAAATGAGATAAAAAATTCTGATATTTGCAATATTTGTTCCTAAAATCTGGAAGCCGGAGTCGAACACGAAAAAAAAACTTTCGGCTTCACAAGCCTGACTCCAAGTATTAAAAAAGATGTTTAAATGAGGAACAGAAGTTAATATTAATTTTAATTTATTTAATATTAACAATTACTTTAATGCCTGATTGAACAAAAAAAAATTTTATGGACAGGACAATTAGTGTTTGTATTGCAAAATTTAAAACTTGAAGCAATACATGTGTCCAATACAATGACCAATCATTTAATTAATCTTAATTTTAATACTTTCACTTTGTCTTTTGCTTTAACTCTCTGTTCTTACTTTATTATTTACATTTTTTTAAAAACAATATAATATAGGATAATCAAAACTCAAGCAGAACTAATTGAATGATTTTTCCAAATGTTGTAAACATTAGCAAAAAAAAAGTTTTAAATAAGACAACAAGAACACAATTAGAATTTGTAAAGGGAAAAAAATAACCAAAACAAACAAACAAACATTTAGAAATGTTGTAAACATTTAAAACAAGAAAAAAAAGTTTAAAATAAGTCGACAAGAACGCAACAAGAATTCGTTAAGAAGAAAAAACAAACAAAAGCAGAAACATTCTTTTGGCTGAAAAAAGACACGATAAAAAAAACGTTAGAAGTTTGGCACTGAAGACCACATTGCAACCTGATGATGATTTTATTTGTGCAAAAATAAATAATAAATAATCGCGATCAGCTATAAAGCTCTTCAATACAAATTCTTATTTCTTTTATTTAAAATGAAGTTTTTGCTTACTGAAAATAAACTTAACCTAGGTTTAATTCATTTTGTTTAAAGTATTTGTTATTTTTGATTTTTTTATGGTACTTCAAAGTTCTCCAATTTATATAAATATATTTTCATTAATTTATGGTATAATGTTTAAACCTTTTAACAAAATGTCGTACTTTAATACAATTTTTGAAATATCTTTAAAAAAATCTCTCATCTAAATAGAATATTCCCAGCCAAAAATAAAATAAAATAATGGTTTCTAAAATTTTGAAAATAATGGTTTCTTAATCCTTATTTTTTTTTGGGTTCACCTTTTTTTGGAAAATTTTATGATTTTTAAGGTTCAACACAATGTAATAACATAGAACATTACAAACTTTACTGGGTATTTCTGATATCAATAGACAACTTTTACATAACCAGGCTACATGAATTTAGAAAAAAAAAAATTTTATTGCTCTTAATGTATATCATTAAAAAACAACTTTATTAAAAAAATTTTGTGTTTGTATAAATTTTTTTTTTTTTAAACTGGAGATTTGAATTTAAGTAAATAATTAATGATTAACTAAAGTTGTAAAAAAATATAGGTAAACTTATATAAAAATGAATAAAAAAAAGAGAAATTTAAATTTTTAGGTTTTTTAATGTTTTTTTAACTTACAAAACTTATAGTAATTTTTGTCATGTTTCTTATTGATAAATTTTACATGTCTCTGTGAAATATAAACAATAGTTTGAATTTAAGTAAATAATTAATGATATATTTTTTTATTTCTATTCAATAAATAGATATACAATAGATATCAAGAAATAAGTGTTTTGAGGCTAAACACTGCGTGTCATAAACAAAATTTTAATAAAAATTAATAATATGTAAATTTTAATTGTTACTAATTGTGAGTACTAATTGTTACTAATGTGACACTTGTGGGGATGCGGAGTCTCAAAAGGAATCTGGCTTTATATTTCTACTTTTGCCAAGTCTGTAGTGCCCAGAAGCTCTAAACATGTTTGTTGACTTATGATTTGCTATAAGTAAAAAATTCATGACTTGAAACTTATTGTTTTTAATTTTTTTCCTATTAGTAGTCCATAAACTTATTTCAATTTTTAGAGCTCCTGGATACCAAAAACTAGGAATAAGTAATCTTTTTGTGCCTTTCATATCCAGAGTCCTTTTTGGGACTCCACATTCCTGGACACTTGACATGTGTCCAGGAGTGTGGAATGTGACATTAGTAACAATTAGATATGAAAATTAGTATTTCATAATTTCAATCAACACATTTTTCTCAAAATTAGAAAAAGTGGGCAGTTTTTATGTTCTTCAAATTGATTTATATTTAGCAATTGTAACTGTCGTTTGAATGAAAATAATCAAATTTATGCACCAACTACGGCTAGTCCTGATAAATGTATGAAATGTGGCAGCTCTAATAAAAAAACTAGTATGTTGTTTTTCTTTTTTAAACTTATAAGTTTTTTTCTCTTTTTTTTTAAAAAATATTTTAAAGCAATTTTTCTCTTTCCTTTTAAAACATAAATTCTGTTTTAAAAGGATTATTAAAAAAATTTCTTTTTTTTTCTTCTTTTATCTAGTTCTTTTACTTTTTTTTTTGAATAATTATAAATGGATAGCACATAAAGTACATAAAGTACATAATTAGTACTTCAACTGTATTACTTTTAGACACTAGTAACAATCTTTTAGCTAATCCTGTAAAATGGTTTCAGGGAAGGTATGGTTTTTTCTGAATTTTAAATTTTTATATTTTCACATGTTAACTAAAAAGTATAGTTTGAAAAGTCGAATTGTTTATTTAAATTTTTATTTCTGATTTTGCATACAGATCAAAAATTGAAGTACCAACATTGAGTCCACATTTGACTTATGTCACATTACCTTGGAGCAGAATAATGAAAGGTTTTGCATTAAATATTTTTTTCCTTAAAGTTCACGTAATGATAACATATTATCATACAATAATATTTAAAAAGTACAATTTTTAAGTTAAATAGTAAAATATTGAAAAATTCTGAAATGTCAAAGTTAAATTTAATTTGTTTCAATATATATTTAATATTAAAAAGGTAATGTATAAAAACCTAAATGAATGAGAAAATGTTTTCTACTCCATAATAACATATGTATCAACACATAACATAACATAAATATGAACACATAAACTTTGTTTATGTGTTCATAAACAATGATTTTGTAAAAATCTATGTCCTCATAGATTCTCTTCTCATAGGATCATCATCTTCAATTCAGATTTAACTCTAGTTTAATCATATTAAATCAGATTTAATTCTAGTGTAGAGGCAACTTAGTAAAAATTAATTTTTATGGCTTTTAACCCTTCTGGGTAGATTCATAAAAAAAATGGTTACCATAAATTAGAAGTTTTTCTAATTGATGTTGCTTTTCTGGTCAGAACATGAGTTGAACCTCAAACCTATTAACCCTGGCGTTCTAATAACTCCACCATGGCTGCTTATAGAGCAGCATGATCAACTGGTTTTAAATTGTTAAATCATTAAAAAGGTTTAAGAAAAGTTATAAAATTTATAGATGCAGAAATCAAGGTTAGAAAAAAGGTTCAAACTTAATTTGAAGAGCTTCATTAATGAGCAAGTAAATTGGCTTACACATTTATCTTTGTTTACATATAAAATACTTATAAAGCAGATATGAATAGATTTTTATGTTACACCTTTTTAAACCATACAAATTTACATACATTTATAAAACATACACATTCAAATACATTCATTTTTACACCTTTCTAAGAACCTTTTTATCCTAGCACATATCCATAATCTGTAAAATAGGCAGATGCTGAGGTAACTTTTGTTTTAGCTTTGAGAGGATGAATTTTTCAGACAGCCCATATATAATATTTTTGTAACACTTAAGTTTAAATGTATGTAAAAGTATGATCATGTAACTAATAAATTATACTAAAACATCACAACATAAAATGTCAACATAAAGTAGTGACATTATTACAAAAAATGTGATTGCTTGTAAAGAGTTTTTTAAAAATATTTTTACAAACTAGTTGTGTTAATTTGTTTGTTATTAATAGATCGATGCTAGAAATATATTTTTGTAACAGACTTTCTATTATAATTTTGTATTGTAATTTTATAATATTAGATATACTGATATTAAAACAAAAGCCAGTTTTTATGAAAGACTGCTAATGTTGATAGCTGTTTTTAATGAAAGAATGATATTATCGAAACAATAGCTGGTTTTTGAAAAAAAAAAAGAAGATATGAAACAAATCCTGGTTTTTGCAAAATTTTGGTTTTTCCGATGACAAAATATTGTGGTTAAGTGGCCAAAGAACAGTTTTCATGTGGTAATGCGATTTTCATGAAGATGTGATAATATAACAAATAAATTATTATATTATAAAATTTTTAAATATATTTTATAATTTTTTTTCTTGATACAAATTGTAAATAAATATTTTATTTGTAATTTATAATTTTTGAATTATTTTATGGTCTAAAAAGTATTTTTTCCATAGATATTTTTCAAAAATTGTTTTGATTTATTTAAAAATAATTTCCATCAAGGTTTCTATTACTCTCTACATGATATAAATTTTT